CTGGACATCATGAGTGGTGCAGCCATAGCATGGCGGTGCACGTACCCCTGTCGCGGACTGACTGGATTCCTTCATGTAGCACAAAGGAGCGGGCTGCATTCCCGCCTGGATCCCAGCTAGCTTACCCCTGAAATAATTACATGGAAACTGTATTCCTTTTAAACACTGCCTGGCCCATTATCTGTAGCCTCTTATTGGCTAACTCTTACATATTGATTCAACCCATTTCTAATAATCTGTATATCACCACGAGGTCATGGCTTACCGGGAAGATTCTAACCCACCTCCATCTTGGAGAGGAGAGCCATGGCGTCTGACTGACTCTGCTTCTTTCTCCCAGCATTCTGTTCTGTCTACTCCACCTATCTAAATTTTGATCTATCAAGCCAAGGCAGTTTCTTTATTAACCAATGAAAGTAGCACAATAGACAGATGACCCTCCTACATCATTTCCCCTTTTTCTGTTTAAACAAAAAAGAAAGGCTTTTATTTTAACATAGTAAAATTACATATAACAAAACAGTTATGAAGCAAGAATTATAGTTACAATATCTATATCTATTTTATCTTTTATCATAACTAAGGAAAACTATAACTACAACTAACCATTCTTCAACTCCATCAAAGACTCCAGAAGGATATAATATTACCTAAATAAACAAGAAATAAGCAACTTCCAAAACTCTAGAAATGACAGAGACATCTCGCTGCCTGTACAGTCACCACAAGTTCCTCTGTACCGTTGGGGCATCCATCTTCAGCCTTCAGGCCCATAGTATCCAGCAGACTTTTCCTTGAAGCAGGAAATTTTAAAGACAGTTTAGTCACTATCTGCTGTGTCCTGCAGAATGTCTCGCAGACTCTTTCATGAATCAGGAACCCCGAAAGACCATCTCACCTTTAGGCAAGTTTGGCAGTCCTCTCTCTGTGGGTTCTTTGTGTCCAGTTTATGCATCAGTCCAGGCAAGAGCAGTTTCTTGACCAAATGGCTAACCAACTCCATAAGGAGCCTATTCGATGCCCATCTTCCTCTTGAAGTAGATTGGTGCTGCCAGGAGCAGACGTGTCTCATTGTCATGAAAAGCCCTAAGTTATTAAAACATTAAAATGCCATATTCTGTAGTCTTTGAAAGATATGAAGAATGTCTATCTAATTAAAATATATCTCTATATATCTAGAAAGTCTAACTAATATTACTACAAGCTTGATTATTATCGATGATTATCCATTAACAACCTATATTTCCTAATTATACATTACATTTTTAAAATGAACTATACAATCACAATACTTTAATCAATATCAGAAATACATATACATAACAAAATTGACCTTAAATTTATATCACTAAAGCAAAATCCATACCAATGCCTCCTACATCACCTTCAGGTGTTGCCTAGGAGAGGAACGTCTTTGCCACTGGCAGGTCTCTGCAGCTTTTGGAGAACTTTGTACTGATTTCCATGGTGGCTTCAGCAGTTACAGTCCCACAGCAATGGAGACGGGCTCCTCTTTCCCACATCCTCCCTGCATTCCTCATTTTCTTGGAGATAACCGTTCTGTCTGTGGTTAGATGGAATCTCAGTGTAATGTCATTTCCCCAGTGGCTGAGGGTGTTGGACATTGTTTCGAGTATGTCTTGGCCTTCTGCGTTTCTCTGTTTGTAAAGTTCATTTGCCTGTTGATAGACTGAATTATTTGTTCTTTGGGTGCTTTGCTATTACTGTTCTTTACAGATTCTGGATGTTCATCTCTTCTCCCACTTGTAGGCTTTCTCTTTGTTCAGTGGTTTCCTTTGTTGGGGAGATTTTTAGTTTAATACAACCCCAGGAGCCAGTTCTTGCTATTATTTCCTGAGATGCTGAAGCCCACTACACGTGGTCTCTGCTATGCTTATGCTGTAGTGTTCTGCCTCTTGCTCTGGGAATTTCAGAGTTTCAGGTACTACAACTAAGTCAGCGACCCATTTGGGGTTGATTTATGTACCGGGCAAGAGGTAGGGATCATATGACATCCTTCTATACATCCATAACCCATTCCGACATCACTCGTGAAGCGGCTGTCTTTGGTCTCCAATGCATATTTAAGATTTATTATTTTAATTATATATAAGTGAGAGGAGCTATGTACACTTAAATTCAGTATCTCAGAGGCTAGGCAGGGACATTAGATTCCTGTGAGCTGTTATATTATATAGTTATATTGTGAGCTGCCTGGTGTGAGTGCTAAGAAACCAAACTCCGAATTCTTAACCAGTGAGCTATTTTTCCAGTCCTTCAATGTATGGGGGTTTTGTTGCTGTTTGTTTGTTTGTTTGTTTGTTTGTTTTAACACAGTCAAGAAATAGGTGACTGTAGCAATGGGGGTTTATTTCTGAATCTTCTAGTGTATTCTACTGGTCTATATGTCTGTATTTATCACTGTGGCTCTATAGTGTAATTTGAGGTCAAGTATTGTAGTCTTCCAGCTTTGGGTTTTTTTTTTTCCCCCTCAGGACTGCTTTAGACTCCCAGGATATTTCCTGCTTGTGTATTTTAGGACTGTGTATTTACTTTCAATACCAAATCTAATTTTCAGAGAATAGCCCCTCCTCTCAGCTATTTTGAAGGATCCTGGGACTGCTATCTTTCAAAGTTCAGGAACAGACTCTGATCTCCCATCCCTGCCTCTGCTGCTGGGAACTCATGAACAAATGAGTTTGTCCTAATACATAGGACAAAGATCTGCTAGGTGACAACTGGTACCTGTCCCATCCTGCACCTCTGGTGGCCTTGTGGGGAACACGGTTCTTGTCTTTATCTATTTTACTAAAACATGCATCATTTTTCTCTTTCTCATCAAAAAAAAAAAAACAACACAGTTGAAATTTGCCTTTTGATGGAATGTTGAGATATTGGATGTGATAGAAAAAAAATCACAGCACAAAAAATGGCTTCCACCCACCACAAGGGCCCAGACATGTCATAGGGCCGGTGACCAGGCCCCACTTCAGCCTGGCCTTCCTCTGCATGGCCAAGTGAGGCCCCTCTCTTTCCCAGATGACTGACAGTGGTGGTACCTGCTCCTCCACCCACTTCACAAGAATCTGTTGAATGTCTGTCAAATTCCAGCCACAAGACCTAGAAGACATGGCAGGGACCCAAACAGACGTGGTTTAGGAAAAGGTCAGGCTGTAGGGGATGCTGACACAGAGGGTCTCTCAAAGCCAGGAACCCAAGACCAGTGCGGCTGAGGCTGGGGTAGTGGAAGCAGGCAAGGAAGAGGTGAGGCTGGACAGGAAGGCAGTGGCCACACCTACAGGTATGCACTGCAAAGCCTCGGGAGGCTCCTCAGGTACAGGGACTCGATACAGGAGGGTCTTGAGCAGAGGCAAGAATGGTGTGATGTGATCTTCATTTTAAGACTTGGAAGCCTCACACAGAGTAAGAGGAAGTAGAGGGGCAGGTGTTATCCCAGAGACCTTTGCAAGCAAGGTCAGATGGTGGTGCAGCCCCGGTGCTGTCTGGGTTGGGTGTGGATCCATTTCCAGATATTTTTGCTGATGATTCAGGCAGTGGTCCAGGTAGCTTTCCACTTCTTGAGGCCACCTTGCGCAGCTGGGTTCTGATGGGGCAGCCAGACATAGCCTGCCCCTTTCCTAAAGTTTGAGTGACATGGTGTTGAGTCGTCCAACTGAAAACAGTAACAGTGGGGACTTGTGCCAGGCTCTTCCAGTGTGCCGTTAAAATGTTCCCTTCCCCCCTCCCCCTCCCCCAAGCAGGCCTCCTGTCATATCCACTCTTATTCAGAGTTAATGTTTATCATTAGAATTTCTCCCCGAACAATTGCTGGGACAGACAGCTGTGTTCCAGCCATTGGCTCACCCATTCAAGAAAAAGCTTCTCAGTGCCCCTAATGGTAGGACTCTAAGCTCCTATCTCACCCCTGGCACTGGCTAGTCATGAGGCCTTGGACAGGCTCCTGGGGTTTTTTGTGATTCAAGGTTCATAGCTGTGGAAGAATTGAAGAGCCACCACAGCCTTGAGTGCGTGGGAACATCATACCACCCGGCCTCAGCAGACAGGGATGCACAGAGGCAGGACCTTTGGCTCCCAGTCTCTACTCCCCTCTTGCCCTCTTTCAGGCCAGGCTTTATCTTTGTGATGCAGGGAGGCAGCACCCACACTGAGAGGTTATGGGGAAACAAAATCAGCATCTGTGAGTCGGGTTAGCATATCTTGTTCCTCCGGAATGTTAGGCTCTTTCGTCCTGTTTTACCGTCTCACAGGCTTGTGGTACAGGAGTGGGGTTAGGACTCAGAGGCTCCGGCATAGCGCAGTGCTACTGCAGAGCTAGGAATGTGAATGTGTGTCTTACCGTCCCGAGCGAGTGGTCTGGAGACTCTGTGGCTCCCACTCCAGCTCTCTCCCATCCTCTGCCTCACTTCCTCTTCCTTCCCCCACCGTCAGTCACCTTGCCCAAACAAAGGAACAGTACACAGGCGCCAGCCGCCAATTGCTCCTGCTAGCATGGGAAGTATGGATTCCATGTTCCTTTTTGCTTTCGAAGCTGACTGCGTGGTTTCCATTGGCAGCGTTTGCTCGGATTCCTCCCAGCTGCATCTTAAGAGGCTTCTCCTGGTTTCTCCTTGTTTCTTAGCGCTCATCCCTCCCTGGCTCATAGAAGCCATCTGCGCCTCCACCTGTGTGACCGTGTGTCCCATTAGGAGCAGGAACATTTTAAGGTTAATTTCCAGTGTTGAAAGAAAGCTTTGTCTGTGTTACCAAAGAGGGACATCTTAAAAGCAAGTGGAGATCCTTGTGAAAGGTTCCTCTCGTTGATGAAATCTAACTCATCCTTCTCTAGCTATGACTGACTCCGGATGGATAATACCCACTGGAGGGTTCAGGGAGCTATTGGAGCAATCCAGCATGTGTACAGAAAGCAAACTGGTTCCTATGCTGTCAACAGCAAGGTGAAAATACTCTCATGAGGCTAACAAGATACTTTTGGGTTTCAGGGAACAGATTCGACAAGGCCTAGAAGAACTCCAGAAAGTTCTGCCAGGAGGAGACACTTACATGCATGAAGGATTTGAAAGGGTAATTTCAGGACAATTTCCAACTCTTCAGTATAAAGTGTCACATTGGGATACCAGCATGGAGATGGCTGATGAGATAAAGGGGGACTGATAATGGCCACAGATAAGAAAGCCCAGTTTCCCCCCATAAGCTCACTGACAACTGCCCTCAAATGCACTAAGGGAATGGATTTTTCCTCCCTAACTGACACCCACAAATGGTTTGTTAGCCAGTACTTAGATGTCACTCAGGAACTGTGCCACACGCAAGTCCCTCAATTCCCAAAGTGTCTTTCGTGGCTGGCAGCCACAATGGCTGAGATGGAATTTTAGTACCTTTGGCTTTAAGGAAATCTTTCCAAGACTCTGAGAAGATCTCCACCCATGTCAACAGTTAGCTGACTCAAGGGTGAGAACCATGTTACCTGAATATCAGCACTGTCATTTTGAGTGAGACCCAGGCAAGTCACATTAAGAATTGAGATAGCCCTGGCTACAGACAAGCAGCATCACGTTTCCATGCATGCTACCCGGGCTGACCTCCATGCATGCACCAAGGCTGGCCTCCATGCATGATACTAGACTGGCAAGCAGCGTTGAGGCTAATGTTCTAATGGCTTCTCCATGTGTTTTTCAGGCCAGCGAACAGATTTACTATGAAAACAGTCAAGGTAAGATTGTAACATAAAGTCACATTATGAAGGGTCTCAAAGCTTCTGAAAGGGAATTTTTACAATAAGTACATGTGTGACATGGTCCATAAATCCTGTATATTCATTTTATCAGAGAAGAAATAAGAACAAGTGCCTAGGAAGGTGGCTTTTATCAAATCAAATTCTGCCAGGCTGTGCCAGGAAGCATTATTTAAAAATAATTAAGATCCCGTTACGGCTACAGTCTGCAATTCGCATGAATAGTTTTGCATGATGAATTTATTAAATTAATAAATACTTGGATAGGCTAGTAAGGTCTTGGATTTTTGTGTCAGATTTAATTACCTTGTTTCTCTCTGAGCTCCTGTGGTTGAATCTGGTATTTAGATCAAGTTTGACTGAAACTTCCCTTAGCTTAAATATAAATGTCTAAAGTATTCCAACTAAGTCCTCAGAAAGGGACATCATCGTCACTCTGGTTGCTGTTGGTCTCCCTCGTGGAGAGCACTCCAGCATGTCACACCAATCTCTTCCATGAGATTCCGTATAACTGTGGGGACTTTCCTCCTAATAGCCACTTCCTGTCTGACTGTAATTAAACTGCTGCACATAAGGTAGGCACCAAACTTGCTCAGCAAAATCAATTGTAAGTGCTGTTACTGGAAGTCTAAATAACATTGGAAGAATTCCAGTAGAATTTTGCCAACAGCTGTAATACTTCTGGTCAGCTTGCAAATTCTGATAAATATTATGTTTTGGCAAGTGTGGTGTATGTGGTCGGCTATGGCATCCAAGAAGGGCCACTAAAGTCCAAGTGTGGAATTTGCCCCAGGCCTGGTGACCTTTGGCCACAGGAGCTGTTGGCAGGGACTGAGTGTTTCAGCAGCCATGTCACCTGGTCAGCCTGTTCAAAATGCTGCAAGATCCCCGGCGGCAGTAGGCAGCAGAAATGCTGTAGGTCCCCAAATGGTGATAGCGGGCCATGTGGTGGCATGCAGCGGGCCCTGGGAGCAGCCAGTCCCAGGCAGAGATGGCTGCCGGTCCCCAAGCGGTGGCTGGTCCCAGGCAGGGAGACACATGGCGGGTGGGCAGGAGACAGAAACATGGATAGACACGGCATGTAGAATGAGGTTAAATATTTATTAGTTGAGTTATGGAGGGGAAGGAAAAAGGGAAAAAGGGAGGAAGAGAGGAGAGAGAGAGAAAGAAAGGAAAGAGAAAGGAGAGGACAGAGAGAGAGGGAAGAGAGAAGAAGGGGCAAGAAGGGGAGCACGGGGCCAAAGGGAACAGAGAAACAAGATGGCGAGAGGAGGGGAGGGGCCGCAGGGAGTGGGCGTGGCTTGTCTCTTAAAGTGCCGAACAATCATAACACAGCGTATATGTTGAGATGAGACCGAGAAATCCAGAAGTCTGACCCTAAAAAGCTCGTGTTAGAGTTGCCCCACACCCCAATACAAGACTGATGATTCTCATCGTGTTCAGTTTCAGTGATTGAACTTAAAAAGAGATAAAATCTCAGAGATGTGTGGGGGTGCCCTGGGGGTACAGGACAAGTAAGAGGGTCTCTATGGGATGCCCTGGGGGTACAGGGTAAGTGAGAGGTCTCTGTGGGGTGCCCTGGGGGTACAGGGTAAGCGAGAGGTCTCTGTGGGGTGCCCTGGGGGTACAGGGTAAGCGAGAGGTCTCTGTGGTGGTGGTGGTGGGGTCCTGGGGTCCAGGATAAACAAGAGGTCTCTGCTGTTTCTGAGCAGGATACAGGACAGCAAGTGTCATCATCGCACTGACGGATGGGGAGCTGCATGAAGATCTCTTCTTCTACTCAGAGCGGGAGGTGAGTAACAGCCGCTGTGTCTGTGTGGAAACGGAACCAGGTTTGCAGCTCAGTGCTAGAGTGTGTAGTGTGTGCCTGGCATGTGTGGAGAGACCAGGTCTTTCTCTGTATTCAGACAAAACAATACTCGTTCTTGGTAAAACCGGAATGGGACTGTCTCAAGTGTAAAAATAATCATAATACTTCATTTTTATGTAAATTTTCATGTCTCACACATGGTAAACACTTTTCTCCTTTCAAAAAAACATTCTACTGTGCCTTTACTGAAGGTAACGTATTACTTTAGCAGCTTACAAAGGGTCACACAAGAGTTTTCAACGGGAAGTGTAACAATTTTCTTCCTTTCCCCTCATATTTTCTACTGAAATGGAGAAAGAGCTTCTTGAGGTACATAAGAACTAGGTCACCAGGGAGACATTCAGATTCTCAGTCCAGGCGGTGGTGGTGGTACATGCCTGGGAGGCAGAAGCAGCTCTGTGAGTTCGAGGCCAGCCTGGTCTGCAGAGCAAGTTCCAGGACAGCCAGGGCTACACAGAGAAACCTTGTCTCTAAAAACAAACAAAACAAACAAACAACAACAACAAAACCGATTCAGGAAGCAAAGCTGCGCAGAGGGGGTGGGTCACTCTTTGCCGTCTCCTGTTTTTCTCCTTCCCTCCCCTTTTTCTAAGATTTGTCTTCATTATATCTTTAAAAAGCTTAAAACATTATTTTCTGTGTATGAGGATTTTTGCCTACATGTATGTTTTGTACTATGTGTGTGTCCGGTGCCTGTGGAAGTCTGAAGAGGTTGCTAGATCCCCTGGAATTGGAGTTATGGATGGTTGTGAAGCACCACGTGAGTGTGGGTGCCAAAGTTGTTTAATCCCCGTGGAGCTGGAGTTGGTTGTGAGTTGTCTGATGTGGGTGCTGAGAACTAGTTTGGGCTCCTTTGGAAGAGCATTGCTCACACTGGTGAGCCCTCTTTACGGCCCTCTTTTCCTTGTGCTTTCAAAAATTACTCCCCAAAAGGATGGACTGCCAAGGCCTCAGCCCGTATCTGAGGAGCTATTGGTGTTGACGGCTGTTTGGAGAGAAAGTTATTTTTCTTCAGAGGTGTGGTCACTAGTTGGTGACCTATGTCCCCTGTGGATGAGCCCACAGATATACAGGCACAGGCTCACTCAGGCCCAGGCAGACATTCACACAGAAGGGAAAAGATACAACGTGGGGTAGGCTGGATGCTGGAAAACATTAATGGCCGGATTACAATCCCTAGGTCTTTTGACCACTGTTTAGCTTAAACTGAACTCCATCCACAAGTGTGAAGTAGTGTATTTGTTCATTCTGAGTCTGGACTTGGCTAAGCTCTAGAGACACACAAGAGAGCGAGGCGCACTTGCTGGGCGCTCTTTCCTGTCTCCCTTCTCCCAGGAGCACATGCCTGGCATGGGAAACATGAGCTAACATGACAGATGCCCTGAGTATCTGGGGAGTAGTACGTTTCTGTGTTCTAAACTTAACTATGTGACGGAATGCGAAGTGGCTTATTTAGGCACTAAATAACCGTCACATAAAATAAAACCCCTAATAAGGAAAGAACTGGAAAAAAGCAAATGGTGAGTGTGAGGGGCTCGAAGCAGACGTTAGCTGGAAGCAATTTTAGGTATGGCGCATACAGACTTGGAAAGCGCTCAGCGTCCTGATGCCAGCACAAGAAAGCGCTCCCGGGGAGATACAGCGCATGAATCCTCCCTTCTGCATGACTCCCCAGAAAGCCTGGATAGAGGAGAGGAGTCCTGGAGCTGATGGGGAGAGGCGAGGGCTAGCCTGTGTCTCGGGGGTTCATTTCTTTCTGAGTGCAGCAGGAAATGTTCCCAACGTAAAGAAGAAAAGTCATGCTCTGTCCCTTCTAGAAGTCAGTGTGAGAAGCAGGTGGGTTGACATCTCATAAGGGGAGAAGTTATAATCAAATCAGTATGTGTGTATTGGGCATGATATGCTTGTTGTTCATATTTATTGAGCATCTACTCCATGTGCTGAGGAGTTCCTGTGTTCTAGCCTAAAACCCAGGAAATATGGAAAACAAATATCAAAGCAAATCAAAATACCTTTAATATATCAACTATAACACTAAGCCAAAACCTGGATATTTTTCAGTAGGTTGCTTCTCAGTGTCGAAAAGGTCCTGGCTACCTATTCAGACACGGACCTACCATCAAGGCGTTTTGCTCTGTGGCAGTGAGATAAAGTCTTCTAGTTCATAAAAGATGCTGACAGTAGAAACATCCCAGTGAGCTCTGCAAGATGGCCACAGTTAATTCCCCAGACACTTTACAGAGTGAAGCCAAGCATCCGCCTAAAGAGCCTGGTGCCAAAGGCCACATTCCTTTATAAGACTGGGTTGTCCTCCCCCAAAGAAGAAAGTATGTCAACAAACCTACTTCAGGAATAGCAAAGGTGGACCTTTCTCCTGGATGTGCCGTGTGTCCCACATCCTTCCAGAGCTGTCTGACGGCTGCTCTGGTGGGTGCCCCCGACGCTAACCCCTGTCCTCTGGTCCGCATGCTTTACGTGAGCCTTTGTGATCACTAGAGTGTGAGCTCCCTGGGGTCTAGGTTACTCCTTCACTGCATCACCTGCCGCAGAGTTGGTGCTCAGGAATCCCTTCACTGATGGTAGCCACCTTGAACTCAAGAGGGCAATACTTGTCCCTTCATCTCCCTTTAATCTCCTTTGTCTCCTCACACAGGCTAACAGATCCCGGGACCTTGGCGCAATTGTTTACTGTGTTGGTGTGAAGGATTTCAATGAAACTCAGGTATGAGCCTGGCTCTCCCCTGTTTGGAAATGTGCTGAGCTCAGGAGTGAAGGACAGCAAGTTCATTCAGCGTAGTGGGGGCATCTGTGGAACACATACCCCTAAATAGGATGTTTCTCTGGGAAGCTAGGCAAGAAGAAAGTTTTGGCTGTGTGAAGAGTTTGACATCATCTTTTGAAGTTTCTGGGGTCCAAGTATAGACCACCCAGGGCACATCTCCTTTGTTTAACTTTTTAGGTGACAATAAGTCACCAAGGTGTCAACACAGGTCTCAATTAGCTTAGAAAACTTCCTAAATGTTTTTATTTGACAAGTACGGTTTTCTTTTTCAAGTGACAGATATTTGTTTTTGCTTATTAAAATGCAATGTATTTTCAATACAGGAATGTAGGAATAGTTAAAGAGTGTGCCCAGAAGTAGAAACCTGCTAGCATCCTAAATAAGAGCTCTTCCATGTGGCTCATCATTGTTTTTGCTACGGTGTTCTCAATAAGTTATGGAGTAAGTAAACAGGATTGCAAAGCAGTGAGATACTACCTGCCCACTCTTAGAAAAAGTACACGTGTCTGCATTAAAAGAGTATAGCGGCCTACACAGACGCCAATGTCAGTAAGCACGAACTACAAATTCATAGGGAAGATCCATTGTGAATAGACCTTGTTTTTCTTCCAGTTTAATTTTAAAATTTTTCCCAAGATTTTTTTCATAATAAATATGTTGCTTTTGCAATCAGTAAAAAACAATGAAAAACATTTTTAAGGCTGGCAAGGCCTCTGTGGCAGTCCCAGGGCTCTGAATGTTGAGGGTCCCTGGTCAGCTGCTCCTTATCCTTCTCCTGATTCACGAAGCAGAAGAAGCAATGGGCCTGACCCTCATGGCATTTGGGGTGAAAGGTGGAACCCCTTTCATCAGCCTGGTGCTACAAGGATGCCTAAATTTGATCCTGAAGTTGCTTTGAGAGGACTCAAGTGTGTTTGTTTTGAATAAAATTACCAGCAGATATTTGGGTGAGAAACAAGCCAGTGTCCTCAAATCGAAAATACATCTCCCCAAGCCATGTGTTCCTCCTACTGGGCAGTCTTCTTCTGCTCCCAAGAAGGAAGAGATTCAAACAAATGCAGGAGCTGGTGCCGTCCTCAGCCTGCTCCAGGGGGTCCCTGGTTAGCGCGTCATTGCTGAGGGCCCCTCAGTGAGGCCCTGAGCCTGTTGAAGCTCCAGGTTCCTCCAGGTTCTGCACATGGGTGCCCCAGGCCTGTGCAGTCCATGGTAGCTTTCCCGAGCCTTCCACATCCGTGTCTGACACGTCTCTGCACTTGTTTGTCTGTCTGTTCTCAGTTGGCTCGGATTGCAGACAGTAAGGACCATGTGTTTCCTGTGAATGACGGCTTTCAGGCCCTTCAAGGCATAATCCACTCAGTGAGTACAGGCTTCTTCTAAAGGGTTGATCGGCAGTGAAAAATAATCTCTCTCTCTTTCTCTCTCTCTCTCTCTCTCTCTCCCCTCCCCCCCAGCCCACCCTCCCCCGCCATGCATGCTCTGTTGTTTTCTGCTTGAGAGAACATTCCTCCACAGGTCTTTTTGTCTACTATGACCTAGATCTGCCTTCGGTCTTTCAATCACGTTTCTTTTCTTTTTCCAACTCCATCCTACAAATTGAGGAGGACCCTGCCCTAGTAGCAAGCCAAACCACAGGCAGTCTCTGTTCTCTGAGTCGGAGCTAGACTGACCTGCAGCCTACCCAGCCATGACCAAACATAGCTGCTCGCAGTGACATGACACCTTTTTTTTTTGTAAAAAGCATCTAACCCATAAATTACAAGTTAAATAATTACAAGATAAAAATCGGATAAGAGTTTCGCTCACAGTTCCAGTCAGCTCTGAGATCATTCCCAAAACACTCCACGGTAGTCAGCCAAAGTGGATCCCGAAACCCGTGCCCAAGAATGCTTTTAGAACACTGATGTCTATAAGAAGTTTCGAAGATTATGAAAAACAGTCTCACTTCAGGCTGGGGATGCGTGTCTTAAATATGTACAGACTTACTCTACTCAAAAAGTAGAAAGAATCAGGAAAATGGAGGATGTCAGACCCAGTGATTAGTCCACAAGGAAGGAACTTCCTGCATGTTTGTATGGGTCGGTGGGATGGCTCGGTAGGTAAAGACGCTTGCTGCCAAACCTGACTACCCGAGTTCTTCCCAGAGAACCCACATGGTGGAAGCCAAACCAGTTCCTCCTGTTTATCAGCTCCGCACACGAGCATAGAAACTTCTGGGGTCACTGCAGCATACTCAGGAACATAAGACCAGAACTAAAGCACCACACAGAGCAGCAGCCTAGCACTGTGGAACACTGACAGTGGGGTTCGGGCTGACCTTGACCCTGTAGCTCTGCGGGGAAGGGTCACTGCACAAGAAGGCGGGCTGACCTGAACTGCTGCGAACGACCTTTAAGGAGGTGGGTGGCACAGCGGAGAAGGAGCTTGAGTTCCGCCTCCTTCCCCGAGGATGGAGGAGAGTGGAGCCCATCCAGGGGAGACAAGGACAGCTCTGATTGAGGTGATTTCGGAGTTGAGGAAAGAGAGCCAGCACATTGGCCTGGATCAAATCTGCAAAAGCTTTGAAGGGTTTTAAGCTGCACCTGCAGGCAGTGGGTGGCGTCACTGAAACACTTGTTTTTATTTTATTCTAAATTAGCATGTAATAATTGTACATTTCTGGGGTCTGATATAAGATGGCCCCATCTATTTTCTGAGTTCTAACCAAGCCCAACCCTGCTTAGCTTTCTGAGACCACAGGAGATCAGGCACACTCTGTGTGGGGTGGCTGTAGATATGTGATCCTCAATACAGACACACAACTATAGATATGTGATGTCTCAGTACAGACACAATGGTAGGCAATGTGATATCACAATACATTTTTACAACATGCTCTGATCAAACCAGGGTAATTAGCATCCTCGTTGCCATACCAGTTCTTTGTGTTGAGGTTTGAGCTCTTCTCTCTCCATTTACATAGGCACACCAGAGACAGTGGCCCAATCAGAGACCACCCAAGACAGCTTCTGGACAGGGTGGGATTCCTTTCCCTGTTCAAGCTCTCATGAGCCACATGCCCAGGGCTCTTCAAGAGTCAGTTCTTACACAAATTATTGGCACTTCTATCTGTGTGAATCAGTGTTGGCCTTGAATGTTTCAGCATTAGCAACAACTCACCCGAGCTCAGTGTGAGCCAGGGTGTTTGTAAAACCGCCCCCAGCCCCAAACTGAAATAGATCCAAGGGTGTGTTACAAGTTCTGTCAGGACAGTGTCCCCATTGCAGACTTCAGGCTCCAAACTCTAACTGAGTGGCGGCTTTCTTATGAGCATTTATCTGGGAATTACATCAGTTTTGATCCTCCCAGGACTAGAAACCCGTGTTTATGGCTGTTATTAACTGGTTTGCTCGGACAGAGAAAGAGACGAGCATGGCAGGGCTTGTCCTTCTCAAGTCAGACAGAAATAATTACGGCCTGAGCTGGCTGGCTGCTTTTAAGAGGTGGGTTCTGTTCTCTTTCCAGTATCAAAAAAAAAAAAAAAGCCATCACTTCCCCCAGCCCAAGGCACCCACTCCCGCTCGTTCCCATCACTAGCCTGTGACTGGCTATCTTCTTGCAATAAAATAGGACCGGCTTAATTATCTAAATGAGATAGCAGAGCAGCTTCTGATGACTCAAACAGATCACAAAGATTTCTGCATTTTTGAGCCCCAAAAAAAGTGCAAGGGCTAATACTGATACATCAATCAAATGCTCACTGAGAGGCCAGAGAGGTGGGTAACACACAGCTGCTTGCCTGGCAAGCCCTGGGTTCTGTTCCCAGCATTGTCCCCCACCACAAAAAATAAATAAATAAATAAATAAATAAATAAATAAATAAATAAATAAAAAGAAAGAAAGAAAGGAAGGAAGGAAGATGCTAATTGAAAAATCTCTTATTGTAGATACTCACTACACAGTTCTAAGTGAAGCAGAAAGTGACCTTGTCCCAACAACAGGGGACAGGAAATCTATGGGAGAGACCCAGAAAAAACAACTAATATATGAAGTTAAATTGTAGCAAACGGTATGAAGAAATAGCATATGCCTCAGGTGAATAGTGAAGAGGGGGCAGTGACCCAGGCTCCTTTAAGAAGATAACCTGGAAGGCGAAATGTAGCTGACCTTGACGTGCAGGCTTGGAGCTACCGAGCTATCGTGTGGTCCCAAGAAGGCGCCTGGTAGAATGAATGGGCGAGGTGTAAGGCTGGCAGACGAGATGAAGCAGCAGGTAGCCTTGAAGGCCGTGGTGATTGCTCTAAGATAGCCTTGTGCAGAGGGTGAAAATAGAGCAGCCATTCCCCAAGGCTCAGGAAAGAAAGGCATGGTGGCATCCTACCCACAATCCCCTGGGAGATGACTAAGTGCTCAGAAGCAGTCTTGAGAAAGTCTGTGCCTGGGCAAGGAAGGAGAGGTGTCATTACTGTTGAACTTCCCAGGGCCCCCTGCAACTGCCCTCTAGAGAATTACCTACTGTCCTGAGTCACAGGCCAGGCAGGGACCCACAGGCAGGTTGGATGAACTGTCATGCCTGATGCTCAGAATGGTGTGCCGGGGAACCTGAACCCAGCAGCGTCTCCAGAAGCCCCACCTTCTCCACCTGGGGAAGTAGAGTAGACACCGGATGCCCAGGATCTCTTTGCTCAGGGGAAGGTCTTCCCCTGTCCTCTGCTGCCTCTCTCTGATGCCTGATTTGGTCATTTCGGCACCCGTCGAGGCTCCCAGTACTTACAGGAAACACTTGCCTGCCAGACCTACAGAATCTGTTGTGTCCATCTAAGGGAGAAAGAGGGCAGAAGGAAGTCAACAGTTGGAGTAACTGTACTTTAACAAATGCCTCTTCTCCCCATTTAATATTACTCCAATTTAAAACCCTACCATTGCCATACAGCACATGTTTTGTTGCCATTTGCAGATGAAGAAGCTGATGCCCAGTTAATATTCCCATGGGTACAGAGCTCGTGGGCAGGGGGAGTTCTTTCTCTCTTGGTGACTTGAAGAACGTAAAAATAAAAGCCCCCAAGTTCAGTCACTGGGCTTCTCACATCATTCAGCCCTCACTGGAACCATGCAATAAATTGGATGTTGTGTGATTGGAAAGGTTTGGTAAATCAACCAGGACCAAACATCTCAGCAAGTGAGCGACAATGCAGGATATGCTGCCTGTGCCTGCTCGAGAGAATGATCACCCGCTCCGCTGAGCAGCGTTAGAAACAGAAACAGTCAGAAACAGCTCCGTTTCAGAGAGGGAGACTCTGAAAACCAAATACAGGAAGTGGCTCAGCATGACTCACATGATGACACGAAGGCAACAGAATGCATGGGTCCCAATCCACTGGCTGGGTTTGGAGTCCTTTGCTTTCTAACACTGGGTTTGAAGCACCTCCAAAAGCTCACCTGGTGTTCAGTTGCTCATGAGCACGGGACAGTTGGACAGTCAGACTTTGTGGTCCTTCAAGCAGGCATTCCTCCTAAGCTGTTATTTCTTCCATCTGAGTTTTAGCCAGCCACAGCTCTGCATAGCTTCCAAGGTCAGGAACATCTGGATGGTATCACTGAAGATGTAAGCTAGTCTACTCAGTGTTTTCAAAGGTCCCAAGGTAATAAGATTCCCATGTTCTGAAGGCTGCCGTTCACACCTAGGCCAGACTCACCCTCACGGGGACCCTCGCAGGGTTCCCACTTGCTATTCAGAAGATGGTGGTAAATTTTAAAGGAAGAGCGCACTCCTTTGTCTCCTCGCATTGTGGTTCACTGGGGAATCCTGCTGACCACCACCTGAGTTTATCACCAACTCTCCAGGGAGACCATGCCGCAATGATCCGACCATGCTCCTGGGCCTTAGTTTGCCTTTTCAAAGGGCTGTGGGCAATAACACCAGAAACTGCATGCGAGCTGGATTCAGAGGACACTGAAATGGCTTTGCAGCTTTGATTCTTGACACTTGGCCCAATTACCATGATTTTTTTTTGTCCCCAGCTGTCCCCACTTAACACAGTTGAGGGCAGTGTCTGGTTCTGGGGAGGGGAGCCCAGCTACTGGCCCTCGCCCTCTGTGCCTCAGAGGTTTCCCCTCCAGTCGATGTTTAAGGGTATGCCTGGCTTCCTATTAACAGGGGCATGAGTCAGCGCGGACAGCCTGTGTGTGTCTGATCAACAGTAAACAAGCACAGAGCAAACGCTGGCAGAACCCCCTCACAGGAAAGCTGTAGGATCAGCAAACCAGGGACACATCTGCCCATAAGGATATTGAAATTTATTTTTATTCATGGCAACCAGATCCTGTGCCGCTCTCTCCCTTCTGTTCCTAGGAAGGCAGAAGAGATGTAGCCCCCAAAT